CAAGTGTTCATTCCCATCTCCTGCAGTAGCGATTGCACCTGAGAAAACACCAGTTGCGATTTCTGAATCGATAGTTAGGACTTTTGGGTAAGCAGTTGCGATTGTTGAGTCACTGGCAACTGAGCCACTGCAGTCGTGGTTGCAACCGGCTGCTCTGTTGTGATGATGATGGCCGCATAGGGCGGCGATTGCTGCCGCTGTGGTTCCCGTTATTGGACCTTATGTCTGAGATGTTGGCATGTGGGTTCATGCTTGTCCATCTAAGGCAGGTGGGTTTGTGTCATCGAGGCTAGCATTGATATGATTGGACTCGTTTCTCCTCCACCGGACGCTGCAGGTTTGTTTCCCGTCATTGCCGACGTCTAGGGTCATATCAGGGTTTTGTAGCTCTGAGTACACACCCGGATGGCGCCAAATGTTGTGATATGTGTACCGAGATTAACATTGTTTAGGGATAGCTTCATTTAGGTTAAGTGTTAGAATCACATCGAATAAAGAACCGTCGCCAATTGTCGTCCAGAAGGGTATCCCGAAATAATGCTCCATTGGTCTAGTCAGTAATTATATGAGAGAATTAGGGTTTAGCTTAAGGTAGAGAATGAAACAATCCCTTATTTTGGAGAAGAAGGGTTTCTTTTATACCTATCATCGTGGGACCATGTCCCTAATAGTACCTTTTGTCTTATCTAGCCCTACAAGATGTTGAGGCATTCTATTGGTGGATTGTGCACCATTAGCAGTTATCTTCTATTGGTGCAGAACTACAGAAAGGAAGCACTCTAAGCGCTATCGCTCTAGGTAGCGGTTAGTATTTTTTTGGCTTGTTATAGACCGAAGTTTCTCGTTCTTAGTTGGACCTTGGTGCTAGAGCATTGAGGTCTAAGTGTGAGGCCATGAGGGCGAGGGCCCAAGTCTAACACTTATGCTAGGTAGTGACCTAGGTCGTCCTTTAGATAACCTTCTTCTTATCTTTAACGTATTTATAGAGGGATACGTTAACAATATATATATATATATATATATATATATATATATATATATATGTGTGTGTGTGTGTGTGTTTGAATACATATTTATACAAGCTATAATTATTATAACTTAGAGTTTATACATTTACTTATGATTAATACTTAGAAACTTAACTCTTTATAAAAGTGAGTACATTACATTTTTACGTACACACCATACATACCCGACTTTTATAAACTCTAGAACCAATTACTGAATTAGTCCATGTGGTTTGGCTAAAGTTGCGTATTTGGTCCTTATCTTTTTTTTGCACTCAGACCATCCTCATGTTTTCTTTTTATTACCCGCCTGGTCCCTGGGTCCATTATTCGTCACTTCCAAATGTTAAGTCCCCCCCCCCCCCACGTGCTTTGCACATGAGGGGTATTTTCGTCATTTTATATAAAAATCTATTAGAACACCCCTAAACCCTGATTCTCTCTATTTTCAAACACGCCCTTTCTTCGTATCTTTCATTTCATGTTCTATGATGTGTCGATTGACCTTAATGGAAAAACAGGCAAGTGTGGTCAAGTTGGTGTGATACGAAGATCGACTACCAAGAAAAACCCTGGAAGACTTTTCTATTGTTGTACTGGGAAGGTAAGGGCAATTTCTTCTTAAGTGTGTGTGTGTGTGTGTGTGTGTATATATATATATCACATACCTTTAACACACAACAAATTACTCAAAATACAATGAGCAAGATGTGGTTTTATAGATTGGGTTGATGAGGACAACTTTAATGTTGAAAAAACTGAAAAAAGTATCTCCCCTGATTTGCAGAAGTCATTGGCGAGCTTCAACATGAGAATAGGGCCTTGAGGCTGTTATTAGTGTTCAATTGGGTTTTTTGTGCCAATTTTAATTTACAAGCTTTAATTTATGCTATCAATGTACTTATCTTTTGTTTCATCAAGGTAGTAATGTAATAGAATGGCAATGTATGAATGACATTGACTATTAGAATAGAATTGTCTGTTGGAATGCAATTTTCTTTTGGAATGGAATTGATTGTTTTATAATGGAATGGAATTTAGTGGTTTGTAACGAAATGGAATTGAGTGGTTTGTACTGGAATGCAATTGATTGTTTTATAATGGAATGGAATGGAATTGACTGTTTTATAATGGAATGAAATTGAGTGGTTTGTAATGGAATGTAATTGACTGGTTTTCTATTGGAATTGAATTGAATGATTGAATAGAATTGAATGGTATTGAATTAGAATGGAATTGAATTGAATGATTGATGGAATTGAATTGAATCATTCAATAGAATTGAATTAAATGGAACGGAATTAAAACAAAAACATAGCAATAGATTAATAGCACCAATTGTTCATACTATAATTGAAAAATAGAGATACATTCAAAGTCATACAATACATAGACAACATGTCCCAAAAGTCATATCATAATTGTTTATAACATAGACACAAAACATAATGACAAATATAACAAACACAAAAGATCATAACACTATAATTGGTTCATAACACGTACAAAAAAATATGAATACACAATCATAACTTAAGCAATACTCTTCCCTTTCTTCCCTTTCTTCCCAGCCTTCCTTTTCCTGCTTGAAATTCCATCACATGCACTTTGAGTTCCACTTTGCCTATCACCACATGCACTTTGAGCTTTCTTCCCAACATTCCCTTTCTTTCTTGAACTACCATCACATGCACTTTGATATTTCTTCCCATCCTTCCCTTTCTTGATTGAACTACCATCACCTACACTTTTAGCTTTCTTCCCAGCCTTCCATTTCTTGCTTGAACTATCATTACATGCACTTTGACCTTTGCAACTTATTTTATTATGACCAAGTTTTTGCATTTTGAACATGTCACACTCTTATCCTTCCTTGATTCCCTACCACCATTCACCATATCTTCTAATTTAATAGCTGACTTCCTTCTTTTCTTCGTTGGTCTTCCAATGGGGACATGATGATTGGGAAGAAGCAAAGTGGTTAGACATGGAAAATTTTCCCATATTCTTCTACCATTAATCGGTTCAATCTTGAAAGAATACATTTTGTTCCTAGTTTTCAACCAGTAAGTAGAATGAACCAATTCTTTAGGTACGCCAACATTTGCTTATTTTTTCGCATGTCCCATATAGCAACAAGGAAATGTTTACAGGGTATACCAGTGAGTTCCCATCTTCTACAAGAACATGTGTGTTGAATCATGTCTACCACACATTGGTCCATCTATGGACCACTCACCTAATATTTTCCATTCCCACAGAACTTACCCACACATTGAGCTGCATAAGATTTGTTTTTTTCAGGCACACTTATTGCAGTTGGAGTTATTGGTCCAACAGCCTTATCAATTAACTTTTAGACACTCATAATACTTAGCATAAGGTACTCTCTAATGAACTCAAGGCATGTGATAGTTCGTTGGTCGTGTGCTTTCTTAATTTGATTATTTATGGTCTCACACAAGTTATTCAGAAGCCCATCACAATGAGCCCTGCCTACAATATAAATAAAAAATTATGTGAGAAAGTGAATCATTTGGTAACAATTAACCCAACAAAGTAAAACAGACATGTGAAGTGTGCCCTAGACCAATGCTGAGGAGGAATAGCTTTGACCCATTCGTAGCTGTTATTGTTTAGCTTTCTTAATTCTTCCATAGCATGGTTGAATTCTTGTATTGTTGTTATACTTTCACAATTCCACAACATGTCTTGAAACACCTTTCCCCTCCATATTTTCTTCATGTTTTCATGAGTGTGTCGCGAACAAGACCTGTGTTCTACACATGGATACAACGTACCAATTGCTTGCAACAAGCCCTGTACAAAAATAAATACATTAGATGTCATGTATACAATGTATACTAAGGACCAAGTCCATTGAAATTACTTACATTCTGTCTATCAGATATAAAGGTAAATTTGGAATTAGCTTGCAAATCAATGTCATCACCCAAGCACCTTAAGAACCAAGTCCATGAATTTATATTCTCAGCCTCTACGACAACATATGCCAAAGGATATGTAAAGTTTTACATCAATACCCTAAATATAGTGAAGGAGTTAGTAATTTAAATAAAATGGAATAAAATGCATAAGATATGTATTTACATCTTACCACTACTGTGAGTATCATTCCAGGATAAGGCCCTTTCATAAGATTTCCATCCAAACCAGGGTAATCTCTTTTACCAGCCAGAAAACCTTTCTTCAATGGCTCTAGACAAATGTAGATCCGTTTGAAAGTTCTAGTCTCAAAAGCTGGGTTTGGATCACTTTCGACTTTTATCTTAACTATTGTCCCTGGGTTTCGAGTGTGAAGTTCTTGAGCATAGCCTCTTAGTGTATTATATTTCCCTGCATAATCGCCCCTTACTTGATTCCATGCTTCTGTTTTAGCCCTAAATACCCTCATCTTCAAAATATCTACTTGGTATTCACGTTGAAGTTGTTCTTGTAAAGCTTGTGTAGGGATTGTAGGGTTGCTTTCAATCTACTGCACTATTTTCTTTGCCAAGAACTTGTAGGTACAAGGTTTCACATTTCTTGTTTATAGACATATATGCTCTTTTTCGTAGGTCTTGATGTCCCAGTCAACATCTTGTTCCCACTTGCTAGCGTAAAGTACCCATGGACACTTATTTTCTTTACTTTCTTTATTGCTTTGACTGGGCCCACATGGGTCAAATTGACCATGGTCTGGGATAGCACCTTTACAAATAGCTTTCACTCTATTTTTGTCATTTTTTTTATCAAGTGTAGTTCCTTCCTTGTCTCCACAGCATGCTTTCTTATTTCATCTTTCAATTCTTCAGATGAGGTGAATTTTTGGTACACATAGAATGGATCACTAACTTTTGCTTCACTATTTTCCATTGCCCTTTGGATTTCCTTAATTGACTTTCTTCTCCTGTTGCTTCCACCTTCATCAGATGATGACTCATATAAGAATATATCATTGTTTACAACCTCAATATCATTAATTTCCCTTGTTTAGGTTTCCTTGACATTTGACCCTCTAAGATCACCCAACCACTCTATATCTTCATCAATATGTAGAAAAAACTCATTCATGTCTATCCCAGGTTCATCTAGGAGGTTATCTAAGTCTACTATAAACCCACTATTATCACTATCACCAACATCATCTCTATTGTCACTTTCATGAGTAATCCCTACAGGTTCTTCATTTAGAATTTCATGAAATTCATCAAATATACATTGTGTTTCACATTGGGCATCAATTTGATCACTTTCAATTTCTTTTGTTGGCATAACGTCTAGTTTAATTGATCCAATACAATCCCCTATTTCAGTTTCCTTCCATTCCAAAAATAGCCTTCTACTACACGAAGGTTGATCAACGATTTCCTCTATCCCAACTTTAATAGGGGCAGATGACATTGTATATGTATGCAACATTGTTTTACCTTGTTCAACATAAACTTCAACTAGTTTATGTTTACCCACGTATGTACCCAAATGGTTAATATCACTGTCACTAGCCAATGCAAACAACCCAAAATCCAAATCTAAAAAGGGTCTTTTGAAGTGGTAATAGAGCAAATTACACTCCTTAACACAGCCTAAGGTCTCCATCATCTCATGAATATTGTGCACACAAAACTCATCAATGTTCAATAGATCAACGCATCTTTCTTTGCCCTTGACGTACCTCCTTCCAGGAAACTTCGAAAACTCTCCACCATAGAATAATCTGATGGAGAAGATAGTTGGATGACCAGTTTTAAAAGAGAAACCTTCAACTTATATGTTTGAAATTGTAGGTGATAAATTTAACTTTTGAAAATAAGGGGTTACCGTAATGTTTTTCAACGTCTATTTCTTCCATATCTGCTCTAATCCTCCAACCCACCATTGTTGCTTTGATGATTCTTGTAGAATTTTGAGGAGTTAGGGTTTTTACTTGATTTTGATGAGTTACAGATTAAGTGAGAAAGAGAGATAGAGATGATTGGCATTGCATTTAGGCGTCATGTATAAAATGATCGTTATGAAGAAATGATTGGCATTGCATTTAGGCGTCATGTATAAAATGATGAAAATACCCATCATGTGCAAAGCACGTGGGGGACTTAACGTTTGGAATTGACGACTAACGGACCCAGGGACCATGCTGGTAATAAAAAGAAAACATGAGGATGGTCCGAGTGTAAAACAAAAGATAGGGACCAAACGCACAACCTTAGCCAAACCACAGGGGCTATTTCAGTAATTTGTTCTAAACTTTATACAACGAAATTAATTATGCTGAGTGACTTATGCACATATAAGTTAGGGTTGAGAGTTATTTACATACCTTAGTTAAGGGCTTTATAGTAAGACACTATTCATTACCTAAGTCTAAACACTTAGCATACCCACACTACTATAACCGTTAATCCATAGAGTAGATACATATGTATAGATCTATACGGGGTTGAGATCCCCACCTATGGTTGCTAGCTACAACCTCGATCGATCAATCAAAGCGGGTGATAAGTATTTGCAGTCGTTACTACAACGTACAATGAAGTGTTATATAAGGTACATTCATTCATATAGCTCAGTTATAGGACTCACTCTAAACATTAACTGGAATCTCTCTCTCTCTCTCTCTCCCTATCTTTCTCTCACACTACAAACCATGGTCTTAGTTCCTCACAAAAATATTTTTAGTACGGTTTTACTTTTATAAAGAGACATTTTGGTTTTCAAAGGTTATTCAAAGAGCCTTTGCAAACACAATTACAAGTATTTTTTTTACTTACCAAGAAAATACTTTTTGAACATTTTTTAAAAGTATCACCACTATTAGCAGAAAACCCATATGTAGCATTTTGATGTTTAGGTACTTCTAAATTCTTTAAAGTCATGATAATTGGTTTGGTGGTTGCAATCTTGGCATTTAGACATGGCGTGTTGGAGGCACCAACATGATGTGTCTAGATAATAAAAGACACGTGCTTTGGCTGAGCAACACGGCATGTTTTCCCTCTGGGAACGACGTGTTGACCGCTGTGTGTGAAACCCTAATATTCCGGGGTTTAGTCCCCTATTTAAGGATTAATGGGGCTAGGGTTTGTCCACCCTCAGCCACCATCTTCCCTCTCAATCTCAGGAAGAAACCCTAATCTTTTCCTCTCCCATTTGTGAAGATAGTTGGTGTTTTGAAGGATGAAAGTGAAAGAAGGAAGTAAGGTTTTGGCTAGCAAGCATCATACTTCAGTGTAGCAGTCTTATGGACCATTGTAAGTGTTCAAGTCTCTATTTTTACCATTCCTAGTCTTTGGATCTTGATGTCTCCTTTCTTTTTACTATGGGTTGATGCATGGAGGCATCTCAAAAAGTTTTCAACTTTATGAATCTCTAGGTCAAAGAGACCTTGTAGTGGCTCGGATCTGGTTCCAACAAAAGTTTTGATGCCATGCATGGAAATTAGGTCCTAAATTCCCTTTATGACCTAATATGGGTTCAATACATGCATTTGACATGCATGTCTTATAAAGCATGAATGTTTGGAATGGTTTAGGTGGTTGAACCACTTCTGGAAGGAGGGGACTTTGGATCTTAAGTATTGAGGACTTTATGGTCTAGCCCTTGTATAATTTAGCCTGTAGTTTGGGTTTTTGGACCTTCTTGCGGTCTCAAAGGATAAATTTGGAAACTCTACCCTTCTTAACACATTTTTAGTCCAGATCTGAGCCTTGGTGTTCATGGGATCGAAAAGGTAGCTAGAAATCTTAATTTGTTGGGAATCTGGCAAACACGGTGTGTTGGCTGCAAATTTCTCATCTGTGGAACTGTTCATGGAAAACGGCATGTTGGATCAACAAAACTTGTTGACCTTGACTTTTACTTTGAATTTGACCAAGTTGACCTTGAGGGTATTTTGGGAAATCTGGTCTTGTTGGATTGGTCATTTGATGATTGTAGGCATTTGAGTTATGAGCTGAGATTCAAAGTCAGGGCTTATTAGTTTTGCGCCGTTTGTGAGGTGAGTTTTCCTCACTGTACAGTCGGGTCGAAGGCACCAAGGTTGACCCTTTGGTTTGATATCCTGATATTATTGATATACCGAGTATGGAATTGATATGCATGCTGGTCTTGATATTCTAGTCTTGATATACTAGTTTTGATATGCTAGTCTGGTAAATCTATAGGACTACCTGTGATATCATCTGTTATTTGTATATGAGATTATCTGTTATATATCGACATATTATGTGATTTCGCTTGAGGTTGTACTGCTCCGTATTGTATCCAACAATCCTTGGAGCAAGATAGATATGAGGTGAGGGCTGGGGAGGGCATGCCAGACTCATACTGAGGGCTCATTAGCATTCCAGATACGAGCTGAGGGCCAGGAAGGGCATGCCAGACTCGTATTGAGGGCTTAGTGGTATTCAGTCCAATGATCGATTGGGCTGGGGAGCAATTCAGACATTAAGTTGTGGGCCCAAGGGGAAAGTCAGACTTATTTTGTGGGCTTAAGGGTAATCCAGTATGTTACCTGTGGACCCATTGCATGATGTTATTATATTTTTTGCTATTTATTATGTATCGGTATTTTGGGGGATCTCACTAAGTTTTGGGTTTACAGTTTTGGATTATGTTTCACGTACCCCAGAGGATCGTGAGAAGGTGAAGGCATAATCATGTACCTCCTCATATTATGTTTTATGATTTTGGGGAAAACTTTGATGTCTAAACTATTTTGATAACTACAATGTAAAGAATTATGATTTTTGGTTGGTTGAAAAAGTTTAAAATTTTTATGAATTTTATGAGTGTTATAAGTTGGTATTAGAGTCCTGGTTTGAGTGAATTGGAGGAACAATCGTGTGAATCCACTCTTAAACAAAAGGAAAAAGATTTAAATGATTTTCAAATTGTTTTCAAAATAATCAAGGAGGATGTGATGTGTAGATCAATTGAAGCCAGTAAGTAGACCCCAAAATACCATACTGTTATTTGATATTGTGATATGTTAGAACAACATGCTAGTGATAGGCTAGGGATCTTCGGGTTTTTCATAATAGAGTTGTCTGATTATATGACGCCTGATAGCCTAGGGTTCTTCTTTAATGGAATTGACATCATTACTATAGTTGCTTAGTGTATGCATCATGGTTATACATAACTAAGATCTTATAGCATGAGAATGTTTGGTTTAGCCTTACTTCCTATTCTTGTTTGATGAAGGGCTTAGAGTAGGATCAGAGATTCAAATGTCTATATGGTCCAACGTTATGTATGGCTAGCATACACAAGTGTTGCAGGGTTGGTGGAATTTTCATGGCCAAGTCGTGTGGGGTCAGTCGGCCAGTTTATATATATATATATATATATATATATATATATATATATATATATATATATATATATGTGTGTGTGTGTGTGTGTGTGTATATAACATACCTCTAGGGTGTGAGGATTGAGCGTATGAGTATGCTAGCGAGTATTGTTAGGGTGTTGTGATGGTTCTCTGAGACAACTACGGGTAGGTGTGGAAGGTAGTATGGGCCCTTACTACTAAAAGCACAAGACCCGTACGCATAATAGAGAAGTTGTAAACCCTAGGGATTTTTTAGGAGTTGGTTCCCCGTTATGATATGTGTATTATCTAATATCTTCCTGGTGTATTTTCAGTATGGTGACTACGAGACAAGTTGACACCGGATTCGGATCGGGATCTGGCACCGACAGGCAAATAGGATCAGATGAGTTGGATTCTAGGATCAGGAGGATTCTCCATGAGGAGGTTGTGACTATTCTCCAAGATCATATATCAGAGCTATTTGGGTCTATTAATACCATGATGATGGAGTTCTTTTATGACAGATATGCAATCGTTGTTGAGACTGCTGTTGTTGCACCCTCTACAGCCGTGGCCACTGCAGGTGTTGGACGGGTCGAGTTTTTCGGTATCGAGACTTTGACAATACGAAGCCCCCAGATTTCAACAGGGTGCTAGACCCGAACATCACCATGAGGTGTCTATCTGACGTAGATGGATGTTTCTTCACTTTCTTGTGCCTTGTTGACCAGAAGGTTAGGTTTGCTCAGACCCTTTTGAGGATCAGATCAAAGGATTGATGGAGGATCACTACCAATTCCTATTTTGCTGAGCAGAGAGCTATTGTGAGTTAGGAGTAGTTTTCTGAGATGTTCCGTTGGTGGAGCGAGAGAGGTTGGACCAGGAGTAATTGGACTTGAGGCAAGGTACTGAGACAATGACAGAGATCACCAAGATGTTCACAGAGAGAGATATGTTTTGCCCTGAGTTTGCTACATCTAAGCAGGCTCAGATCACCCGTTACTTGAGTATTCTGACGACAGAGATCAAGCAGTTTGTTTCTACTCAACGCTATGGTTCATTGTTGGAGTTGTAGGAGGCCACCAGGCGGAGTGAGATTGAGATTGATCTGCAGATGAGGGAGTAAAGGCCGGCCCAGGTTTAGTTTCAACCTACGCCAAAGAGATTTAAGATCGTTGATGTCAGATCTAGGGGACGGAAGGGACGCACCTCCGGGAAGTACGACAAGGTGCATGCGGGTTTTGCAATCATCATATGGGTGCCAAAATTATGGCTGGCAGAG